AAATGGATTTCCCCCCCCAAACTACCCAAAAAAAAAAAGGGGGGGTGAGGCAGGAATTAGTCCAACCCAGGGGCGAAGAGGGAGGGGGGAAAGGGGTCTCTCCCCATGTTCAATGGGAGGCAGGGATGACGCCCACCGTAAAGCTAGCCCGGTTTGCTTTCGCCCCCCCAGGCCCCTTCTGCACCCCAAATCCACTTGCAGGCTTCCCGAAAAGTTTAAGGGGGCCGCGATGGGAAGCGTCCAGCCGCGGGGAGGGTGCTGGCGTTTGTTCTCCAAATGCATAAACCGGGGACGTTTTCTGGAGCGCAGGAGGGGAAAGCAGAAACATGGCTTGAAGACGGTGCAACCTTCTGGCTTGATCAGCTCCAGGCGCGGGGGGGTCCATCTCGGCCTCTCGTTTCAGGCTCCGGGAGGAAGGGGATCCGGGTCCATCCCAGAGGAACCCAAGGGGACCGTCTGGAGGGTCCTGCCCCTTCGGTTGGCTCGATTAGAAACTCACCAGCGTATAAACCATACTGAAGGGCGAGAGGCAGAAAGGAGAAACGGGAAGGGGAGTGAAGACGAGGTGTCCCTGGTCCGGGTTTGCAAAAAGCAGTCGGGTTTGGAAAGCCGGGCTGCCTCCCAAATCCGGCTCCCCGGATCCATTCACCAAATTCATTCCAAGCCACCCAATCAATCAATCCATCCATCCATCTGGTCCGTCAATCAATTTCATTCAATCCATCGATCGATTCGATCAATCCATCCATCCATCCATCCATCCATCCATCCATCCATCCATCCATCCATCCAACCAAATCCATAAATCAACGCCATTCAGCCCAACCAATTCAATAATTCCATTCTCCATCAATTCAAAGCTCTAAATCGAATCAGTTAAAAGCAATTGCGGAATGGGGGAGCTGGAAGGGACTCCCGAGGATCGTCCGATCCAACTCTCCATCGTAGGTTGCCATGTCGCGCCCAACGCACGTTTTTCTCGACTGCCAACGGCCCTTTAATCCTTCAATTGCCCTCCGATTCACTCTTTCCTCATTGACCTGTCACGGTTGCATCGAACGGCTTCCCAATTAAAGGCCTAAGATCCGGAAGAAATTGTTTTCTCTGGCTGAGGAGTAAGCCCACAGCCGTGGTTTATTCAAGAGACCCCCAATTGATTTACTGGCGTATTTACGAGTCACAGCGGCTCCATTTACAGCCATTTGCCGAGCTAAGAGCAAACCAGCTAATTTACAGCTTAGCACGATACGTTTCTCTGCCTAGCAGGAGCTGCGGAAAAAGGCAGAAACGGTTCACTGCAACTTAATGTAAAATTCTCCCTTCTGCATTCCAAGCCAGGATTGGTGGCTGGTTTCTGGTTGGCTTGTTTGGGAGCAACAGACAAGGATCTTTGATTCAGACGCGAAGCACAGCAGGCACCCCGGCACAGCTAAAGGTAAGGACTTCCATAGGATGAAAACCTGATATGAAAGTTAATTTGGATTTGGCTCATATTTTTTTTCTTTTAGATTTTTTTATCCCGCCTTTAATATTTTTTTATAAATAACTCAAGGCAGCAAACAGACCTAATCCTCCTTCCTCCTCCTATTTTCCCCACAACAACAACTCTGTGAGGTGGGCTGGGCTGAGAGAGAGGGAATGGCCCAAAGTCACCCAACTGGCTTTCCTGCCTACGGCGGGAATTGAACTCGCCAGCTCCTGCTTTCTAGCCTGGGGCCTTCATCCTGCTTCGCTTCACTCTTTTGAACGTGCATTTGACCATATTTGTAGCAATGTCTGTAGCTACTTTGGGTACCGATGACAGAAAGGTGGGGTAAAATTAAACAACTGTGGAGGCCTGTAAAAGTCAGGACTCACCTGTACAGGTAATAGAAGAAAGACAACAGATAAAAAGCCAGTTTGCACCATGATTCTTTCTGGCAATAATTTAAGATGTCAGCATTCATGATGGAAACGGCATCGTACATCACTTCTGAACCATCTGCTGGGCGGTGAAAGTACCTGGGAGGAAGAAAGGCAGGCTGTTCATCAGAGCGAGAAAAAAAGAATAGGAGGCTTGGAAAAAGTCCAATTTGACCTCAAAACGATCAATTTTGAGGGTTCCGATTCAAAAGAAAGCCCAGGATTCTGGAGTGTGTTGCTCCATGTTGGAACAAAACAGCCCAGGCGTTATTGTGATGGAACCCCACCAACTCAACCTGACGTGATGGAACACAACCAACTCAACATTCAGACAGGGTCTTGCATCTGGTGGAACCACCAACTCATCAACAGGTGATGGAACCCAACTAACTCAACATTCAGACAGCATCTTTCTTGTGGTGGAACTTCACCAACTCAACATTTGGATAGTGTCTTTCGTGTGGTGGAATCCCACCCACTCAACCTTCAGATAGCATCTTTCACATGGTGGAACATCACCAACTCGACATTACATGATGGGACCCAATCAATTCAACATCACGCGAAGGAACCCCACCAACGCAACATTCAGACAGTGTCTTGCATCTGGTGGAACCCCACCAACTCAACATCAGGTGATGGAACCCAACTAACTCAACATTGGAACAGCATCTTTTACATGGCTTTCGTTTCCCTTCTCGCTCATTACCCTGTCATAAAGCCTGCTGCTTCCCTCTGATGATGGAGGCACTTGGGTCTGACCTTAACCTACTACTGGAGGTGGGGGGGGGATCCCTAGCTGGAGGCCTCCCCACCTGGGTTTTTTCCTCTCCCCTGGAACCCTCTTGAACAACCTGACAGCCCCATTTCCTGCAGGGAAAACCTGAAAACAAGACCCCAAAAACAGAGGGACAGCAGACAGGGGCTGCATTCCTGAGAATAGAGTCGAAGGCATGGATCACCCCATGCCCACCCCAAGATCACCCCAAATCTGGCAGAGGTTGAGTTCTCATTGGCTCTCCTCCATGTCCTGCCAAATCTCCAAGTGGCCCCCATTCCCAGGACAGTAACTTCAAACCGTCAGAACGTGACCAAAATAGCCTAGAATTTAACTCTCCTTCGAAGCTGGCCCCAACGCAGAATATAAATGACATCTTCTCAACATATTTATTTGCGGGTTCTTTTTTCGGGTTTTCTCTAGCTCCTACTCAAGAGGGCCAAAAAAAACCCCACCAAAAAACCCTGTTGATTTTTAGGCACGCTTTTTAAATTTATGATTAATTGGATTCCTGCGACTTTTTTTCTTTTAATAATGTCATCCAAGCTTCTGTTCCGCACCCAGAAATCTGATTCCAAAAAAGAATCAGAAGGATGTCCCATCTGTCCTTTTTTAGAAGCAAAGCTAGCTATTTTGATATATAGATGAATATATAGGCGTATTTACACCACTACGTAACATCTATTTTTTGCATACTGAAACAAACAAGCACGCTACGTTGTCTAACGACGTATAAACAACCAAATAACATCTGTTAAGAAACATTTCTGACTTTTGCTCATTTTCAATCAACGGGGGCTAGGCTACGGAAAAAAAGTTTCTGCTTCTGTGTCGGCCTTCCCGTTTTGTACTGTCTTCCCAGGCTCTCTTCTGCGACTGAGAGATTTCTTCTGCTACGCTCTTGAATAACGATGCGTTCCTGGGAGGATCTGGGGTTTGACCAAAACCAGCAAAAAGAAATAAATCAACCCCCCCCCCCACCGCCCCAAAAAAGAGTTTTGTCCTTAGCGAGATGCACGCCTAAAAATTTAGAGATTTCCTTTCCAAGCCCAGCTTTCACGCCCTGCCACTTTCTCAATCGGGGAGTGCAAGCGTGCAGCGGGATTTTGCTTAAACGCCTCTTGCGAAGAAGAGTTTATCATTTTTAATGCTTAGCTCAAATGGGTCAAGTCTTCCCCTGGGGCGCGAGAGGGCCCTAAGATATCAAAAGCACACTCTGGATGAGAAGACAGCGGGACAAGCCTTGTTCTTAATTTGGAAATTGGTTAAGCTAGGGCTAAAGCAGAGAATTGCCCAAAGCGATACAGGAAAGGTCTCTTCCGTGCAAGACGGGGTGGGTTATGGCCCAAAACTGGTCTGTTGATTTGGGGCACCAGGGCACGGAAGACCTCCATCCCTTGAGAGCAAGAAGAGGAAAAAAAAATACAGGAATGAAAAATGAAAATGTGGCGTCCTTGGTGCTCTCTGAGCTTGGTGGTTTGATTGGAGACGTTTCATGACCCGACTAGGTCACATCATCAGGGCTGGGGAGTGTGGGGTTTCCTCCCTGTTTGCAAGCTCCTGTATGCAAGCAGAGAGAAAACCCCACCCTCCCCAGCCCTGATGATGTGACCTAGTTGGATCATGAAACGTCTCCAATCAAACCACCAAGCTCAGAGAGCTCCAAGGACTCCCCAGTTCCACCCTGAGCTCCAGAGATTCTCTTCCATTGAAAAATGAAAATGCTAATCATCGGATGCCTTTCTGGGGTACTCCAAGATGCTGCCTCTCTTTATAACACAACTCCCTGTCTTTTTAAAGAAGCAGCTACATTCTAATACTGTGCGTACATGTGTACTAATTGTGTGTCCACACGTCTCTCTCTGGCCCACAAATGTATGATCCACACTCATACTGGCAAAAATATATACAGTGGTACCTCTACTTACAAACGCCCCTACTTACGAAATTTTCGAGATACAACCAGCTCCGGCCCCAAAAATTTACCTCTGC